AACAGAAGCAGTNTGAATGGACCAAAGTTGCTGTTGAATCTCAGCGTTCAGTTGCAATATGTGACTATATTGCAGGGATGACAGACCGGTTTGCTATACATGAACATAGGCGAATATTTGATACCTCATACGAGATGACTTCTTTTTAAATAAAAATGTCTGATCATCATTTTATGTCAATAGCACTAAAGCTTGCAGAAAGAGGCTTAGGAAATGTTGCACCTAATCCTTCTGTTGGTTGTGTTATAGTTAAAGATAACGTAGTAATTAGTGAAGGTTGGACTGGCACTGCACATGCAGAGGTAGTTGCTTTAAAAAATGCGAAAGGTTCAGCTCAGGGTGCCACTATGTATGTTACTCTTGAACCATGTTGCCATTATGGAGTTACAGGACCTTGCACTTTAGAAATTATTAAATCAGGGATAAAAAGAGTCGTAGTTGCAATTATTGACCCTGATGAGAGAGTTTCAGGCAAAGGTATGCAAGAACTAAAAGAAGCTGGAATTGAAATTACCTATGGAGTTATGCAGGAAGAAGCAGAAAAATTAAATGTTGGTTTTTTCTTCACCAAAAAATTACATAGACCTTTCATCACTTGCAAAATTGCGTCTACTCTTGATGGAAAAATTGCAACATTTACAAATGAAAGTAAGTGGATAACAAGTGAAGACACAAGAAATTGGGTACATGAATTAAGAGCAAAATATGATGCAATTATGATCGGAAGCAATACTCTTATCCATGATAATCCATTATTAACTTGCCGCCTACCAGGGTTTGAAGACAGATCACCAATGAGATTAATTATAGATAGTCAAACAAAGTTGAAAAAAGAACATAATATTGCAAAAACTGCCGACAAAATCAAGACTTGGGTTATTACAAATAATGAAGTAAGGGAAAAGATAAAAAATGTTAATTATTTGATAACTAATGCAAATAAGAACGGTAAAATTTGCTTAAAAGATATGGTATCAAAGCTTGTTTCAGATATTGGAATCACTAGAGTGCTGGTTGAAGGAGGGGGAATGTTGATTACAGAATTATTGAAACATCAGCTTATTGATAGATTGATAATATGTCGCAGTGGTAAGATCTTAGGTAACGATGCCGTTCCTTGCATAAGTAATTTAGGTATTCAGTCTATTAGTCAGTGTTACAAGCTTAAAAAAGTGAAAATCATAGACTTCGTGGATGATATAGTGGAGATATGGGATTTTTATACAACCACTTCTTATCTTTAATATAAGTTTTTATAAACAAATTTATGATAATTATTTACCCACTCGATTTCATCTTTAGTTAACATCTGAACATCTATAAGTCTTTGATCATAAGGAATGCAGGTTAGTTGCGTAAAACTTAAAAAGCCATTTTCTTGCTTATCAACATACATCAGGTTTTCTATTCTTATTCCGTATTTGTTTGGAATATAGTAACCAGGTTCATTAGAAACGATCATACCAGGCACAAGCTCTACTTTATTTCCTTTTGATATTTCCTGAGGTCCTTCATGTACTGATAAGTAGCTTCCCACACCATGTCCTGTTCCATGCATGTAGTCCATGCCGAATTTCCACAAATGCGCACGCACCAGTATGTCTAATTCTCCGCCAGTAGTACCTGGAGGAAAGACTGCACTTGCTATAGCAATGTGAGCTTTTAACACTATTGTATAGTGAGTTATCTGCTCTTTGGTGGGAGTACCAATGGCAACAGTTCTTGTAACATCAGTTGTGCCATTAAGATATTGGCCGCCAGAATCAATTAAATATAGTCCCCTCTCTTGAATTATTTTATTCGTGCTGCTGCTTGCACGGTAATGAATTATCGCTGCATTTTCATTAAATGCTGAAATTGTTGNAAAACTGGGTTGCTTAAATAAATTACGTTCTTTTCTGTACTCTAAAATCTTTTTTTCAGCATCAAGTTCTGTTATTCCATTATTAACATTGTTTTCAAACCAATATAGAAAATCTGTCACTGCAATTGCGTCTTGAATATGTGCATTTATCGCCCCAGCTATTTCTGTTTTGTTTTTTATAGCCTTACTCAGCAAACATGGATCTTCTCTCTCAATTATCTGCTTATTCTTTAGTAGATTCACAATACTTATAGGGATTGTATTCGGATCTATTATTATAGAATTTAGTTTATGTAAGGCATTTTCAAGCTCGCTAATATTGAAAACATTTATGTGATTATCTAGCGCTACTTCTATTTTGTCGTCTTGAATAAATAAGTCGACATTGCCATTTTCATATAATATGGCACGACATAGCACGTGTGGAGTATAATTTGCATTTTCGTTTCTGATATTCAATAACCATGAAATTGAATTTATGTCAGTTAAAAGTACTGCTTCATTAGACCTCTTTCGAAACTCAATTTCCGATGGCAATTTTGTTGTCGAAGCTGAGCTACACTCCTCAAATACATCCAAGTATTCTGCGGTGCTCTCTTGCACTTCTCCTAAAAATTTCTTACCATAAATCGGTTTCGAAAGAGGTCTATTATTT